TCTTGATTTTGGCTCGGGTCATGATCTCAGGGTTGTGGGATGGAGGCCCTGCATTGGGCTCTGCCCTCTGCCCAGAGTCTGCTTCTCTCTCTCCCTCTCCTTTGCTCCTCCCCGTTCATACTCTCTGAAGTAGAGATTTCTCTCTCTTCTCTCTCTCAGAGCAAGAGAGAGAAGAGAGAGAGAGCACACACAAGCAGGGGGAGTGGCAGGCAAAGGGAGAGAGAGAAGCAGTCTCCCCACTGAGCAGGGAGCCCGATGCGGGGCTTGATCCCAGGACCCTGGGATCATGACCTGAGCTGAAGGCAGACGCTTAACTGACTGAGCCACCCAGGCACCCCTATAAATAAAATCTTAAAAGAGGAACACAAAAAAACCCAAAAAACAAACAAGAGTCCACACTCTGCTGGAGCTTACATTCTAGTCGAGGGACATAGACCATACACAGCATGATAAAATATATAGTATATTTAAAATTTGGAAATATACAAATAAAACTCAAGTTGAGAAGAGGGGTAGACTGGGAGTCAGGGTATAGTTTTACATAGGATGACTAAGGAAGGCATACTAGGAAAGTGATATATGAGGAAGTAAGGCAGGAAGATTTGGAGAGAAAGTTTCCAGGGGGAGGAGAACAGCAAGTACAAAGGCCCTGAGGCAGAGTCTAGAACTCTGGCCCCTTGCTTCCTGGCCCAGACTCTACCCACCACAGTGTCTTGTCCCAGACTACCAGCAAAGCCTCAGGGGTCCAAAGGTGGACAGGCTCAGCCCCTGGGTCAGGGCCCCCCATTTCCCCATACTCCTGGACAGGAGTCTGGTGCACTAGGGTTATAGGAGGCGTTGCACTTCTCATTGCCAACCCTGTGTCAGTGAACAGCCCACAAGACAAAGGGGCCTCCAAATCACCAGGAAGAGAAGGAGGGAGGCAGGCAGGAGGTTAGAGGGCATTGGTGTGGAGCTCAACAGCCCGTCCTGGGTCAAAGTTCACATGCCTTTGCGTGAGAAGATCTTTGGCTAGGATTCCCTAACCATCGATCCATCTGCTACCAGGAATATGGGGACAGTGGGGCAGTGAGGCGGGGAGAGGGCTCTGGGCTGAGGGTCTTGGCCCAACCACGACTGTTTGGTCAGCACTGCTGAAGGCCATGGGGGGTGGGGAGGGGGATGGAGAGACAGTAAGATCCACAACAAACCCCTCTCCCTCGGTGGAGATGGAAAGCATGCCCCAAACACAGCCTGTGCCGAATCTGGAAATGCTCCAGGAACTGTGAGAAGGCTGAGATCCTGGGGTGGGGGCGGGTAAGGGGCTCGGCAGGAGGGTAGACTAAGAAGAGTATAAGGGGGGCGTTCCAGGCCTGGGGAGGAGGCATGGCAATGAAGAGCTGGATTTAGGGCGCCTGGGTGGCTCAGTTGGTTAAGTAACTGCCTTCGGCTCAGGTCATGATCCTGGAGTCCCGGGATCGAGTCCCACATCGAGTCCCACATCAGGCTCCCTGCTCAGCGGGGGGTCTCCTTCTCCCTCTGACCCTCTTCCCTCTCGTGCTCTCTGGCTCTCATTCTCTCTCTCTCAAATAAATAAATAAAATCTTAAAAAAAAAGAGCTGGATTTAATTGTTTTACCAATTATTAGTATCTTGCAAAGGCTTGGTTTATTAATCTATTTCCCCCAGGCTGGGGTTTGTTCCGTGTTAGGGCATGGAGGAAGGAAGGAATGACAGGTTGGGTTGAGGTCATAGCAAGGGTCAAGTGCCCTGGGAGTTACTATGGAGGAGTGCTGGAAACATAGATCAGGAGACACTGAACTAGCTGTGGGGAGGACTTGGGGTGGGGTAGGGGCTTCCCAGAGGAGGTGATGTTTTACCTGAGATTTATTTATTTATTTAAAGATTTTATTTATTTATTTGAGAGACAGAGCACAAGCAGGGGGAGGAGGATTGGGGCGAAAAAGGGCAGAGGGAGAGGGAGAAGCAGACTCCGCGCTGAGCGGGGAGTCTGAGGCCAGGCTTCATCCCAGGACCCCAAGATCAGGACCTGAGTCAAGGCAGACCCTTAACTGACTGAGCCACTCAGGCGCCCTTATTTATTTATTTTTCCAAAGATTTATTTATTTATTTATTTTAGGGAAAGAGGGGGGGGAGAGAGAGGGGGCATGTGCAGTGGGGGAGGGGTAGAGGGAGAGAGCAAATCTCAAGCAGACTCCCCGTTCTATCTCATGACCCTGAGGTCATGACCTGAGCCGAAAATCAAGAGTCGGATACTTTAACCAACTGAGCTACCCAGGTGCCCCTTAGATGAGATTTAAAATAGGGGAGATTAGAAGTAGGAGTGGTGGGGCTCCTTGCTCAGTGGGGAGCCTGCTTCTCCCGCTCCCTCTGCCCTTCCCCCTGCTTATGTACACTCTCTCTAATAAATAAAAAAAATTAAAAGTGTGATACCTTAAGAAAAAAAAAAAAGAGGAAGTAGACGTGGTCCAGCCTGGTAGGTTCTGTCAAAGATTCTGGTTTTCCTTCAGATGGGAACTACTGAAGGCGTATGGTTGTGACAGAATGAGATTTCCCACTTTTGAAAAGACCCCTCTGGATGCCACAGGCTTGAGAAGGAATTGGAGGGAGTGACAGGTAAGTGGGAACCAGGTTTGGAGGCTATTTTTACTCTAGGGGGCAATGAAGGGGTCCCGGCGGAGGATGGGGAGGACGGGGAGGATAGGGCAGTGGGGCTGGACAGATGTCAGGGGGGCAGCAGCCTACCCTCCACACAGTCTATTCTCAGCACGGTAGCCAGAGTGATCTTCCTTGCCTCAGACCCCACAATGTGTCCCGCTCACACACAGATGTTTCTCAAGGGGGTGCTCTCTGTACCTGGAGAGGGGGTCACTCAATGCTAGGAGAAATCCCTCACAAGACCACTGCCCATTTCCAGTGCACCTGGTACTGCCCCCCCCCTCCCCCCGGCCAAGGACCACCTTTAGGGGCCTTTGAACTTGCTGTTTCCTCTGCTTCCAGATACTTGTGCACCTTGAGTCTTGATTCCACACTCTTGCCTCTGCTCAGTGTCATTTTCTCAGTGAGGCCTTCTCTGACTACCCTATTTTTTAAAGTAGGTTCCACACCCAAAGTGGGTCTTGAACTCACGACGTCGAGATCAAGAGTTGCTTGCCCCACCAACTGAGCCAGCCAGGCACCCCTGACCACCCACCCTATTTTGAATTGCAATTTTCCCCAGGGTTTTCTACCCCTTCTCTCCTTTATTTTTCTCTAAAGCACTTTTCACCCTCTGACATTTTCTATGCATTATCTGGCCCCGCCTCGTCCCGTCCCCAATGTAAGGTCCATGTGAGCAGGAGGAGTGTCAGTTTTGTTCACTTGTATATCAATCGCCAGCATCCAGGACAGTGCCCAGCACATACTAGGCGTTTGGTAAATATTTGTCCAATGTTTGAGTGGAGTGTTGAAGGGGCGGGATGAGGCTCTGTTTCTGGTTGGGCCAGGGGGTGGAAGTGTCATTCGCTGGGTCGGGGAGCACGGCGGGGAGGGCGGGTGATGTGGTTAGTTGGGGACAGGATCAGCAAGACAAGCAAATGAGGCTCCCCCCACCCTGCCCCGCGCGCGTTCTACAGCGGGAGGGCTCGGCAGGGGCAGGGGCAGCGTCTGAGGCAGCCAGCCAGGCGAGCCGTGTGGCGCTGGGGCTGCGTGTCCTGCCACAGGCGTGGACCACAAATACCACACACGCAGGCTCCTGCTTGCAGGCAAAAGCCTAGCTCCGCACGCAAACCTGGGCCCTTTGCACCGCCCGCCCCTCAATCCAATCGCTCACCAGCCAGGCTTCCCCGTTCCTCTCCCTCCTCCCTCACCTCCAGGCTCGCCTAGAGTCCGGCTCTTTAAGAGCCCCGCCCCCGACTCCTCTCCCCTTCGCGTGACTGTGCCGGGACCCGAGGTGGGGAGTCTGGCAGCTGGGTGGCTGCGCCCGTCTCCGGGCCCTTCTCACGCAACTCCCGGGCACCGCGCCCCCGGCCAGGTGGGGCGGGGATGGGCCGCGTGACCTCTGCCCCCTGGAGGGGTGTACTAGACACTTGCACGCTAGCCCGGGGAGGCTTCTGCGCTGGACGCCCCCTCCCCTGCCCGGCCGGAGGGTCCCCCTCTCCTCGGCCAAGGGGAGCTAGCCGCACAGCCCCACTCGCCGCCCGATTTCTCCGCCCTGCCAATGAGCTAGCAGCCCCGGGAGTCAAGAGGAAACCTCGAGGGCCTGTGGGTGCCAGCTGGAGGTACCCCGGGTTTGCAGCATTCCAAAGTGGCCCTAGAGCTAGTGAGAGCCAGTGAGCGCTCAGCGAGACTGCGCGTTTCCATCCATTCTCGTCTGTCTGTCGGGGAGCTCACACGTCGGCTAGTCACCCGGGCTCTGGGGGCTCTTGGGGAACGAAGCCAGCCCTTCGGCGCCTCTGGCCTTCCGGCCCCGGTGACCTCGGGGCTGGGGTCGCAGTGCTTCTCACGCGAGCCCGGACTCGGTAACCCGGGGGAAAGAGGTCATCACACGGCAGCCCCGCCCCGCCTGCCAGGCCACTGTCAACTAGTGGCAAGGGGGAGGCACTTGCAAGCCCAGTGTTCCAGTGGATGGAAAAATTAGGCTGAGGGGTCCCCGCACCCGGGGATGGAGGGCTTCCCATACCGGGTCTTCGGGCTTTCTTGAGACTTCTCCTTCAAATCCCCACCTCAGTTGGGGTCTGCGCTGTCCATGGGGACCTTGGAACTGGGGTCTCAGGTGTCCCCAGCCCTCACCCATTTACTTGCTGGCACTTGGATGAGGAGTCCCCATAGTGGGTTCCGACCTGTCCCTCTGAGTTCCCCCAACCCTGTCTTCTTCCCCGCTTCCCAACCCCCTTCCCTCCCTTTTCCCTCTTTCCTAGAGTCACCCCCCCACACACTCTAGCCCGCCCCTCCCTCTCTCCTAGCTCCAGGGGGCGTGGCCAAGCGCACAAGCTGTTTATAAAGGTGGAAGTGCTTTCACCCTCATCAAGGTTCCTAGGAGCCTTACCTGATCTTCTTTGGGGTCTCTGGCTTAAGAGACCACTCGTCCCAGCTCACTTCAGTACCTCCTCACAGCCACAGGTGAGTGCTGGGGACTTCTAGCTTGCCCTTTCTCTCCCAACAGAAAGAAAATTTTGATGCTTCCTAGGTTTTCCTAGGTGGCCACTGGTCTGGCACCTCAAAAAAGGGGGCTAAGAGTGTCCTTAGTGACCAGGCACTCTGGCTCCATAGTGGGGAGACTGAGGCCAGGGCAAGGGCAGGAATTACCCAAGGTCCCACAGCTAGTGCCAGAATTCTAGATTTTAGATGGCCCCCCTTCAAGGACTCCAGGATTCAGGCTCCGGTTCCATTCCCACTGACTCTCTGAATGCCCTGGGGCTTCCCCATCAGGGTCACCTGGGAGGCTGGAATAAGGACACCACTGTGGGAAGCTAGGATGATGTGCAGCCCCTTGTCCAAGCTGTGTGAGGAGGGCAGCTTTTCCCTGGGTGGGCAGGATGGATGGAGGGGGCAGGTTGGGTTCTTATCGGTAGTACCTTGCCTTATCTAAAAGCTACCCCTGGCTGAGGTAGCCTGTCTTGACCCTTCCAAGGCCCGGCTTGTCAGAGCCAAGATGTGCTGGCCAGGACGAGAGATGCTGATCTGAACGGGAGTCCTGGGCACTGTCCAGGGCCCTTCCCTATCCCAGTGACTGCCTTCTCTGTCCTGTACTAGGGGGCGATCTGTGTGAGACTGCCAGCTGCAGAGCTGGACTATCAGTCCCTGAAGACTCACCAGTCACATCTTTCTTGGCCTCTTACCGTCTCGCTAAGGCTGGAGGTCCTTGGGGCACCCAGTGTGCAGAAGGGAAACCAAGGCACCCCAAGACCTGTCCCTAGTTCACTCAGGGAGTCAGAGCTTGAGGGACCCAGCTCCTCCAGGAGGCCTCCCTAGACAGATGGCTATATACTTACAGTAGGAGCCAGACAATCTCCCCATCTTGGCAGGTTCTCCTGTGGGGAAACCAGGATTCAGAAGGGGAGGTTCCCCAGGTCAGATCTGGGTTTTCTCTTCTCTGAGATCTAGCTGGGCCCCCTGAATCAGAGATCATATCCCCCGGACCCCCACCCCAAGTGATATAACTGGAGCCCAGAAAGGCAAAATGACAAGTCCAAGGCCATGCCATTGAGCCTGGAACACTGGAGCTCCTCATCTCCAGTCCAGGGCACCTGGCAGGTGCCCCAGTCAGAGGCCAATGTCTTGAGGAGAATAGTCCATGAATTTGCACACCCTTTCTAGAACAAGCCTTGAGTGAAAGTATTGTCTCCACTTCTGTTAAATTTAGATTGATTCCTAATTTCCCTAATTCCAGTCTAGCATTTTCTTGCAGCCCTTATCTCGTGGGAGTCTTCCATTTCTTCTCCTTTCTCTGGTGACTGGGAAATAGGGGAGGCCCAGACAGTTCATTCATTGAGAACTGAGCCCAGTGAAAACCCTGGCCTGGATTTCTGTGACCTGGAGCCTCAATGTAGCTTGTCTCCGGCTGCTTTTAAACCGTGGGTCAGTTGAACTCAGAGAGCCTCATGAGGCAGAGTAGTATGGCTTAGGCAGTGGCCTTCAGGTCCCCTGTCCCTTCCCTACCCTGTCCCAGGGTCTGGTCTGGCAGGATTCCCTAGACCCTGGGATGGAGCAGAAGAAAACTGAGAGTTCTGGGAGAGAATCTGACCACTCTTCAAAGTGAGGTACCTGTGACAGGAGCTGTGAACTTTCCAGGGAACTTGCCCTAAGAGGTCTGAGTCCGGGCTCTGTCACTGAGTGCTGGGTGACTTTAGGCAAGTCAATGGCCCCTCTGGAGGTCAATTTCCCCAAATGTGAAATGAGGCAAAAGGAGCACATGATCCCTAGTTCTGATGACAGTGTTTCCCCAAGTGTGGTGGATAGTACTTAAGGGGATTGGGGGTGACACATGTCGGTTATGTGTTTAATATACATTAGGGGGGGAAAATCAAACCTGTACTTTGACACAGATATTTTTGTTTGGGATGATGCTAAGTGGGTAGATTTAAAGTTGATTTTAGAAAAGCATAAAATAAATAACAGTACAGGTGCTATATGGGAATCACAGACTGGTGTGTGGAAAACCTGTTTTCTTTTATATTTTCTTTTATTATTTTCTTTTATTGTAAGGGGGCTCCATGCTGGGCTTGAACTCATGACCCTGAGATCAAGACCTGAACTGAGATCAAGAGTTGGATGCTTACCCAACTGAGCCACCTAGGTGCACCGAGGAAAACCCTGTTTTAGATTGGTGCAGGATTGTTCTGGAATTGGGCACTTTGGGTTGGGAATATGGATCCAACACTTCCTGACTGTGTGAACTTGTGCAAGTTACTTAACCTCTCTGAGCCTCTCTGTAGTCTACCTTTTAGGCTGTGGACAGGACTGAATGAATGGCTATGAAATTATTTTATTTTATTTTATTTTACTTATTTATTTGACAGAGAGAGCAAGAGAGCACAAGCAGAGGAAACAGTAGAGGGAGAGGGAAAGGCAGGCTCCCCGCCAAGCAGGGAGCCTGATGTGGCGCTCAATCCCAGGACCCTGGGATCATGACCTGAGCCGAAGGCAGACGTTTAACCATCTGAGCCACCCAGGCGCCCTGGCTATGACATTCTTGGTACACGGTGGCAGCTCAACAAACAGCTTCTCCCGTCTCCTCCTCCCCTTCATGTCCAGTTAGCTGTTCTGGATAGGAAAATTTCTCCTTTCTTTGACCAGCATGCTGACACTTTAGGACATTGGTTCCTCATATCCCCCCTTCTGATATCTTGGTCTTTTCTTCCCACCCCACCTCTCAGCAGCCATCTTGAGAACTCTACGCTGATGATGTTCTCTGCGTCCAGATTCTCCATCCCCATCTCGGCCACAGAGCTTCTCCTGGCCTCCACTGTCTTCTGCCTGATGCTCTGGGTGGTCAGGGCTTGGCAGCCTTGGGTTCCCAAAGGCCTAAAGAGTCCCCCGGGGCCCTGGGGCTGGCCCCTGCTGGGGAACGTGCTGACCCTGGGGAAGAACCCACATCTGGCGCTGTCCAGGCTGAGCCAGCGTTATGGGGACGTGCTGCAAATCCACATTGGCTCCACACCCGTGCTGGTGCTCAGCGGCCTGGACACCGTCCGGCAAGCCCTAGTGAGGCAGGGTGAGGATTTCAAGGGCCGGCCTGACCTCTACAGCTTCACTCTGATTACTGATGGCCAAAGCATGTCCTTCAGCCCAGACTCTGGACCAGTGTGGGCTGCCCGCAGGCGCATGGCCCAGAACGCCCTGAAGAGTTTCTCCATTGCCTCAGACCCGGGTTCCTCATCCTCCTGCTACCTGGAAGAGCATGTGAGCAAGGAGGCTGAGGCCCTCCTCAGCAGGTTGCAGGAACAGATGGCAGAGGTTGGACATTTTGACCCCTACAGATATGTAGTGGTGTCAGTGGCCAATGTCATCTGTGCCATGTGCTTTGGCAAGCGCTATGACCACGACGATCAAGAGCTGCTTAGCTTAATCAACCTGAATAATGAGTTCGGGGAGGCGGTTGCCTCTGGGAACCCTGTGGACTTCTTCCCCATCCTCCGATACCTGCCCAACCCTGCCCTGGATTTCTTCAAGGACCTGAATAAGAGATTTTACAGCTTCATGCAAAAGCTGGTCAAGGAACACTACAAAACATTTGAGAAGGTACTGGCTGGGGAGAGGCAGGTGGGCGGTGGGAAGCAGTAGGGTTGGGGCCAGAAGGTCAGAGATAACTGGAGAAGTAGGGGATTTGGCAGGCTCTCAGGGCCTTCACCCTGGGATTTTGAGGTGAGGGGTTGAGTGGACTCCATCCTTGGCAGGGAAATAGAACTTTTCCCTGATTAGCCTTTCAATCCTTCCGTCAGACAGCAATATTTACTGAATACCCAGTCTGTGCAGGACCCAAGGCCAGTGGTTGTGGGGAACAGGAAGAATTAAAAAAGTTGGTCTGCTGGCCTCATGGGAGAAAGAAGGGTAAAGAGCATGTCTAGATGACCCCTCTGTCTCAGGTGTCCCTTGAGTTGGGGCTGCCAGTATTCTGAGGCAGGAGAGAGCCTGAAAGGGGCACGAGAAGCTGGGATGGCAGCCTTGAGGTAGAGGGGTCACCTCTTGCATGAAGGTTCTAGGGACGGTGAGGAACCAGGATGGAGAGGTTGGTCTGGGTTTGGGGTCTTGTTCACCTGTGGGCCTTCCCTACCCAGGGCCACATTCGGGATATCACAGACAGCCTGATCGAGCATTGTCAGGACAAGAGGCTGGATGAGAATGCCAACATTCAGCTGTCTGATGAGAAGATTGTTAATGTTGTCTTGGACCTCTTTGGAGCTGGTATGAGCTACCCCATCGTGCCTTTCCCGTGCCCGACTGCCCTGGCCTGCCAAATGCCAATTGCTTAATCTTTCCCTTTGTTCTCCCCTGGTCAGGATTTGACACCGTCACAACTGCCATCTCCTGGAGCCTCTTATACCTGGTGACAAGCCCCAATGTACAGAAAAAGATCCAGGAGGAGCTGGGTAGGTGGTGGCTTCCTTTAAAGTGCTCAAGGCAGAGGGCCTGGCCAAGTTCTGGGCAGCCCCTTCATCCACATGGTCCTTTCTTATTTTATTTTAAAGATTTTATTTATTTGAGAGAGAGTGAGCGAGAGGAGAGCACAAGCTGGGGGAGGGGTGGGAGAGGGAGGAGCAGACGCCCACTGAGCAGGGGACCTGGTGCAGGGCTGGGCTCAATCCCAGGACCCTGAGATCATAACCTGAGCAGAAGGTAGATGCTTAACCCACTGAGCCACCCAGGCACCCCACATGGTCCTTTATGTTCTGCAGACACAGTGATTGGCAGGGCCCGGCAGCCCCGGCTCTCTGACAGGCTCCAGCTGCCCTACCTGGAGGCATTCATCCTGGAGACCTTCCGACATGCTTCCTTCGTCCCCTTCACCATCCCTCATAGGTGAGACCCCATGGATCAACTGCTGTCTGATAGTGGGCCTTCCTCCAGTCCATGTACCTGATCAGGCCTGGAGGGAGGGACAGGTATGGGAGGCAGGGGGATGTCCTTGTGGTCCTGAGCTTGACTGGGCTTCTTTCTTCCCCAGTACCACCAAAGACACAAGTCTGAGTGGCTTTTACATCCCCAAGGGACGTTGTGTCTTTGTGAACCAGTGGCAGATCAACCATGACCAGTAAGTTGAGAGGAGGCAAGGGCAACTCTGCCCTCTCCCAAGCTCCAGACCCTGCTGTCCCTGGGCCACTTGCCCATCCCCTACTCTTTGGGGCTGGGGTTCAACCCACTTGATGCTTCTGAGCCCCCAGGCTACCACTTCAGCTGCTTCTCTCTGATTACAGGAAGCTATGGGGTGACCCATCTGAGTTCCGACCAGAACGATTTCTCACTCTTGATGGCACCATCAACAAGGCACTGAGTGAGAAGGTGATTCTCTTTGGAATGGGCAAGCGGAAGTGCATCGGTGAGACCATTGCCCGCCTGGAGGTCTTTCTCTTCCTGGCCATCCTGCTGCAGCAGGTGGAATTCAGTGTGCCCCGGGGCACGAAGGTGGATATGACCCCCATTTATGGGCTGACCATGAAGCATGCCCGTTGTGAGCACGTCCAAGTGCGGGTACGCGCTTAGGGGACTGAGAGCCCTGCAGCCTAGCCTCTTGTCTACCTGGCCTATCTGGGCAGCCAGGCCAGTGGGCTGGCCCAGGGTCAGGGAGGTATTCTAAGCTTCAGCCTGAAACCCACAGATATTGGTCTGGCTGGGTTTTGCTGTCTGGGCTGCAGGCAAGCCTGAAGGATCGTGCCTGCCCCCCACCCTGGACTTGCTCCTCTGCATACTGACCACGGACAGTGAACACAGCAGGGGCCACAAAGGAGCAGATGGAGCCTTCTGGAGTTGTGCTTGAGCCAGGAGGCTTGGCTGGGTTAGGAAGTCCTAAGCGCCAGGAATCCTCGAGGGAATGCTCTAGAAGCCCCTAAGCCCAGGGGCTGGCTGATTTTCTGTGAGGGCTGACTGGCTTGAGAAACATTTAGAGCAGGCCACACCAGGGCCTGTCCAATTTCTTTGACACTTAGGAGCTGTCACAAGTGAAGGGAAGAGGCAGCTTAGGATACTACTGAGCAATCTGACCACATGGTTCCGGGACACTGTGATGCCTTTTTCTGCTGTCCCCGCAGGCAGGAACAGGGCTGCCTCCTGGCCTTGGAAGGCCCCTGTTCCTGTCCAGGAGGGGCTGTGGACTTGCGCATAAGAGGAGTAGAGAGCAGAGGGAATGTCCAGATTCAGGCACCAGAGACCAGGTCTCTATGTCCGATATAAAAATGCCTTTTAAAAAAGTTTGTACACAAGAAGCTTTTTTTCAACCTGCACTGTACTGGCATGTCTGCATTTATCATATATAAAAGCTTAAGAACAATTTATTGAGTGCAATAGAAAAAATTCTAACCCAAATATCCAGAAATGTGTAAGAAACCTTTACCTAAGCTAAATAAAGATATTATCTGGAAGTCCTATTGTGGAAATTTTTTGACTTTTTTTTTAAAGATTTTGTTATTTATTTATTTATTTATAGCACAAGCAGGGGGAGGAGTAGAGTGAGAGGGAGAAGCAGGCTCCCCACTTAGCAGGGAGCCTGACATGGGGCTCGATTCCAGGACCCTGGGATTGTGACCTGAGCCGAGAGCAGCTGCTTAACCGAATGAGCCACCCAGGTGCCCCAGCTTTCTGGCTCTTGAATGAATCCATCCCTCCTCTACCTGCCCAGTCTGAGCCCAGTCTCATGTTGGGTTCAACTATGGGAGGAAGAAGAGGAAGAGGAAGCAGTGAAGAGGTGAAGGCATGGCTCTCAGAAGCTCACCATCCACCTGGGGCACAAGACTGCCACTTCACTGCCTTCCCCTAATTGATCACACATTGATGAAGTGCATTCTTTAGACCAGGCACTGGGGGCTATAAAGCAAATAAAACATGGTCTCTGCCTTCAAAAGCCTCCCAAATTGGTTGGAGGAACCAACTCATAAACACATCATCCAATTCCTTGTGATGAGAGCTCTACCAGACAGATGCATACAGGAGGGCGAGGCCCAGAGCTGGAGCTGGAGGAGTGGGTGCAAGGGGATGCTGCAGATCTTGGGGATAGCTACGCAGATGCCTCCTCAAAAATGAGAGGCAGGGGGCACCTGGGTGGCTCAGTCTGTTAAGCCTCTGACTCTTGATTTCGGCTCAAGTCTTTTTTTTTTTTTTAAAGATTTTATTTGTTTATTTGGGAGAGAGAGAATGAGAGAGAGAGCATGAGACGGGGGAGGGTCAGAGGGAGAAGCAGACTCCCTGCCGAGCAGGGAGCCCGACGCGGGACTCGATCCCGGGACTCCAGGATCACGACCTGAGCTGAAGGCAGTCGACCAACCAACTGAGCCACCCAGGTGCCCTCGGCTCAAGTCTTGATCTCAGGGTCGTGAGATAGAGCCCTGCCTCATGCTCTGTGCTCAGCGGGGCATCTGCTTGAGATTCTCTCTCCCTCTCCTTCTGCCCCTCCCCTCCACCCACATGTTCTCTTTCTCCGTCTAAAATAAATAAATATATCTTAAAAAAAAAAAAGAAATGAACAATACTAAACTGCAATGTCTAGGAATACACACTTGGTGATGAATCTTACAGTAAGAATAAGGAAATGGTTACTATCAGGATATGGACAGTGGTTTGGCCTGGTGTGGCCTGCTCTAAATGTTTCTCAAGCCAGTCAGCCCTCACAGAAAATCACATCCTCTGGTGGGGAGGGAGTGTGTTATAATTGAAATAGGACATGTAGAGGGCTTCCGGGATGACCGATAAAGTTCCATTTCTTAACTTGGGTGTGTTTCAAAGATACTTGCTTTATAAAAATAAGAAAAAACACAATTAACTTGAACTGCTCTTTGCTTTTTAGAAATGTAATTAATATATATGGTCAATGCCCTTCAACCAAAGACCACCAAGAACACACCTGTAGTGAAGCAAGCTGGGTTTATTATTCATTGCAGTGAGGGAGAACGCACACCATAGGAACGTGTGGGGTGTCTCAATAAGAGGAATGTTAGAACTTCTTACACAATTTGGGCTTTGGGTGAGTAATTTAGGGGGGTTAGCTCTAGATTGGATGCTGTTAGAAAGTGGAGACAATTCTATGATTGGGTATTTTGTGGGTAGCATTGTGACCTAACTTCTACCTATGTTTAGACAAAATTATGAAGTGGCCTTGTTTTTTTTTCCATTTTTAAAAATTTTGGTAAAATACATATAAATGAAATGTACCATCTTAACCATGTTTAAGTGTACAGTTCAGTGACATTAAATACATTTATAATGCTATGCAATCATCCCTGTCATCCATCCCCACAACACTTGTCATCTTGTAACTCTAAACCTCTACCCATTAAACAAAACTCCCCATTTTCTCCTTCCTGCGGCCCTTCTACTTCTGTCTCTACAAAAAGTGACCTTATTTGTTTCATTTTATCATGTTCTCAGAAAAACCTTGTATGAGGTTGGTGTTCTGTAAGAAAAGAGCCAGAGAAGAGGGGAACAAAGGAGACTGTGAGCATTAGACCAACCTGCGATAAATAGTGAGGTCTAGCTGTGATCAGTGTATTATTTCCAGCTATTGGGGGCTGTTCTTTCTCGGTCCTCCTTTTGGGTCAAGTGCAGACAAAGTTAGGTCTTAGGACATTCATTCCATTATTATATCCAGATTTTCATCATTGCCAGGGTTTTGCAGATTAAAATAGATTTGCTGATTAAGAAGAACATCCACTCAATGTCATCTATAATTGACCAAGGATTCATCTTTTCTTCTTCTGTTGTAGGATGAGTTATTGGACCATCTGATGTGACAATTGGTTAGCCTACCAATAGTGTCCTAGTAGTTCTTAGGATTCTAGATAGGCTATATAGGCCAATTGTAACATAGGCAATTATCAGAATCAAAATGACTATTAGTCTTTTGATAGGTCTGGAAGCCAAGGTCCTAGATTATGAAATCCAGGCAATCAAAACGTGTCCCAAAATCAAGTTGGCCTATTTGAGAGAGTCATTTTCTTTTTTGCCTTACAGTATTTCCACAGATGCAGCAGGGAGTGTTTGCTATAGCCCAAATTTCCCCTTGACTGATTACAAGGGAATCATGGCTATACAATTATCTCTGACAACTCTAGCTAATGAATTTAGACTAGTTTGTTTAGAACAGAAGTGTGGTGATATAGAACTTATGATAGGTCAGCGACAAGCTTTGAACTTTTTCTTCTTGTACTAGTCCTATTGTTGTTGCTGGCGGAGTGCACACGAAGAGGGAATCAGTTATCCCTTCTGGAATGTCTCCTGAATAATCTATGCTTGCCTCATTTTGGGGGCTTCTGAGTGTCTTTTAAGGGAAGCATGTATACTTTAGTGTCTGTAAAAATACAGGCACATGAAAAGATGCTCAACCTCACTCATCATCAGGAAAATGCAAATCAAAACCACGATATATTACCTCACACCTGTCAGAATGGCTATTACAAAAAGACAAGAAATAACAAGTGTTGGCAAGGATGTAGAAAAAAAGAAACCCTCATGCACTGTTGGTGGGAATGTAACTTGGTACAACTACTATGGAAAACAGTATGAAGTTTCCTCAAGAAATTGAAAATAGAAATTACCATAGGATCTAGCAATCCCACTCCCAGGTATTTATTTGAAGAAAACAAAAACACTAACTCAAAGATACATTCCCATATTTGTTGCAGCATTACTTAACAATTGCCAAGATATGGGGGTACCTGGGTGGCTCAGTCAGTTAGGCGTCCGCCTTTGGATTCTGTCGTGATCTCAGGGTCCTGGGATGGAGCCTTGCATCGGGCTCCCTGCTCGGCAGGAAGTCTGCTTCTCCCTCTCCCTCTGCCCCTCCCCTCTGCTCACGCTCACACACACACTGTCTCTCAAATGAATAGATAAAACCTTAAAAAAGAATAGCCAAAGATATGGAAGCAACCTAAGTGTCCATTGATAGATGAATGGTTAAAGATGTGTGGAACACTACTTATCCATAAAATAAATGAAACCTTGCCACTTGTAATGACATGGATGGACCTTGAGGGCATTATGCTAAGTGAAATAAGTCAGATAGTGAAAGAGGAGTACTGCATGATTTCACTTACAAGCAGGATCTAAAAATCAAAGCAAACAAATGAAACAAAATTCAGACTCAGAGAGAGAACAGAGCTGTGGTTGTGAGACAGGAAAGGGATTGGGGTGTGAAATGGGGAAGGGGATCAAGAGGTACATACTTCCAGTTATAAAATAAATAAGTCATAGGGATGTAAAGTGCAGCAGAGGGAATACAGTCAATAACATTGTATTGACTTTGTATGGTGGCAGAAGATAACTAGACTTATCGTGGTGACCAGTTTGTAATGTATACAAATGTTGAATCTCTGTGTTATAAACATGAAACTAATAGAATATTGTATGTCAATTATACTTAAAAAAACAAAACAAACAAACAAAAGAAATACTATGTATTTCTGTGGAAATGTAAAATGATGTTGCTACTCTGGAAAATAGGTCCTTAAAAAGTTAAACCCAGGGTCACCATATAACCCAGTAATTCCACTGTTAGGTATATACCCGAGAGAACTGAAACATATATCCACACAAAAATTTGTACATGGGTGTTCATAACAGTGCTATTCATAATAACCAAAAAAGAAATAATTCAAATATTAATCACCTGATGAATGGATAAATAAAATGTGGTATATCCATACAACGGAATACTCTTTCTCTCTCTCTCTCATGTAAATAAATAAAATCTTAAAAAAAAAAAGCTAGTTTCAAAAAATAAATAAAAATTTTTAAAAAGTAAAAGCTAGTTTCATTAATCTTTTCTATTATTTTTCTGGTCTTTGTTTTGTTTATTTCTGGTCTGATCTTTGTCTTTTAATTCTGCTAACTTTGGCCTTAGTTTCTTCTTTTTCTAGTTCCTTGGGGTATAAAATTAAGTAGTTTATTTGAAATCTTTCTTTTTTCTTAACGTAAGCATTTATTGCTGCAAACTTCCCTCTTCGAACTGCTTTTGCAACATCACATAGGTTTTGGTGTACTGTGTTCCATTTTTATTTGTTTCAGGGTATTTTTTGATTTCCCTTTGGATGTCTTCTTTGACCCATGGGTTGTTCAGGAGTGTGTTGTTTAATTTCTACATATTTGTTCATTTTTCCCTCTTTCCTCCTTTCAATTATTTCTAGTTTTATACCAATGTGGCTGGAAAAGATACTTGGTATTATTTCAATATCCGTAAATTTGCCATGACTTGTTTTGTGACCTATCATATGACCTACCCTGGAGAATGTTTCTTGTGCACTTGAATAAAATGTGTATTCTGCTACTACTGGATGGAATCTTCTATATATGTGTGGTAGGTCTATTTGGTATAAAGTATGGTTCAAGTCCAGTGTTTCCTTGTTGATTTTCTCTCTGGATGGTCTATCCATTGT